AGAGGACTACATTCTTTACGGGCGAGCCCTTCCGACGCGAAAGTGGGATCGTTTCGGAACTTTTGGGGAAGAATTTTGGGACAGTGATAAACCGACCCCGTGGAACAGGGCGCGGAACTGGGATGTTTAATTTGGGGCGAAACTGAACCACCTGCACAAACTGAACCTGGCGCACGTTTTCGTAACTACGAAAACGTGAAGTTAAAAACAAGGGAAAATATGTCAACGGTAACTTACATGAGCCGCTATAACGCGTACGGTAACGATTTCAACGCGTTTGGTAACTCGCTTAACGCGTTTGGTAACTCGCTTAACGCGTTTGGTAACTCGCTTAACGCGTATGGTAACTATACACTAGCAGCCCATCACGCGAATGGTAACTACATGAAACTTCCGCCGAAATGATTCGGGCAATGAGGAATTTATCGAATTTGCCAGCTTTTATGCACAGTTTTATCTTTTTTCAACAGATCCCGCCAACTTTGACAGACCCCGTTTGTTCTATTACCACGGACCGAAAAGTTTCAGAGCCATTATACATATATATATATATATCCGTATCTCGAAAAAAATAGGTTAAAAGCATACTTTTGATAGCATGATTGTGAACTTGCAAACTGATTAAAACAAACATTCCCCAAAAGGACCTCGAGGCTTTTACTTTTTTCTAATAACTACAACGTTGGAGAATTTTTGCATGTGGGAAAAATACACCTCTTTTGAATTACATGTTTCATTTTTGAAGAAATAACCATAAACGGCTTGTCGCAAGGAGTTTAGGGTTGATACTCTCAGATTCATTTGTCATCTCAAGGGGTATAGATTTGTTTGCCCCGCCTGCACGATAGAATGAAGTACAAACAGTTTGCGGAAAGAGCGCCAGAATTATGTATGAACAGTTGTTTTCACAACACATACTTTTTTGCAATTAGCTTGAAAATCGGAAAGTGTGTCAGGATTTCGGAAAGTGTCAGAATTTAGGAAAACTGTGTCAGAATTTCAGATAGTGTGTCAGAAGTTTCTGCTTCAAGATTCGTCAATTTATTCTGACGCGAGCGGGAAAAACCAGAATCAGGGTCATTTTGGGCGAGGGTTTCTTCTAGTTACCATTCGCGTGATGGGCTGCTAGTGTATAGTTACCATACGCGTTAAGCGAGTTACTAAAAGTGTTAAGCGAGTTACCAAACGCGTTAAGCGAGTTACCAAACGCGTTGAAATCGTTACCGTACGCGTTATAGTGCCCCATGTAAGTTACCATTGACATATTTTCCCTTAAAACAACCTGAACAGTTAAAACAACTACTTTTAGGTAGGTAAAAATTACCAACTAAGCACGTGTTGTAATTTTCGCATGCCGACGCTCACTTGGCAGAGCGCAGCTAAAAGTAGTTAGGTAAACATTCTTGCTTCAACGTTCTCTACATTCTTCCAGTGGTTGGGTAGCTTCTATTTCACCCCTTGTTGTATTCTATTTTCAATCGTTCTAGTGAACATATTTGTGTACAAACTCTGTCCTTCTACCACTTCAACTCTCACAAGAATACAACATCACCAACTCCTTAGTGAACTATAGGATTGCTACTGCGCGACAACGGCAATGTTGAACGTTCGACGGGAGACGGAATGCAGGAGGGTCGTGGTGTTCTACGACAAGGAGAAGTTTTGAACGCTGGCCGCACAAGCTTCGTCCAAGAAGAAGACTCGGTGCAGAGGAAGGAGGCTGGCAGAGGACGATCGTCGGCTGGTCGCATCGGCGCAGTCAACGCTGGCGGCAATTGAACGATCTTCCTCCCATCGACCTGGAAGGACGGTGGAATTGCTCCTGACTATGGATACTTCAAAATGTCTCCCAACAAGATCACGGTGCCGAAGCTTCTCAAAGGATGTCACGACTTATCTGTGTGGATGGAGTCCATTGAGCCCCAAATTGAAATCGCGCAGCTAAAGCCGTTCATCGACGACTCGATCAAAATTCCACTGCTGAGCGATACTTAACACTATACACAATTTCGCTCGGCGCAGCTGCTGACTTTCATGGTGATATCGCTCTGCTGCTCTCCATCCGTGAAGATCGCATTGAAATCTTGTCGTCTTCAAGTGGACGCGGGTTACCAGGCGTGGCGTTTCATCATGGAAACTTACAAAGCAACGGACGATCTCTACATCGGCCAGCAAGAGGAGAATTTGGCAACGTTAGAGATGGCAGAGCATGAGACGGAGACGACCTACTACAATCGTGCGCAACCGATTCTCGCAAATCTGCGGATGACCGGCGTGAACTACTCGATGGCCTCGTACGTGACTCGTATCATCAAAGGCCTTCCCACGGAGAGAACAAGTACCTTTGACGGAAGCTCCAATTTCCGGAAGTCCGCAAGACCCTCGACGAAAACACATTGATGAGCAAAATTATCGCGGAGGAGTGTATGCTCGAGCTTGAAAAACAGAAGGAATCAGCTCTGCCACAGGTCAACTGGGCGTCGACGAAGCAGAAGCAGCAGCAGAAGCGTTGGTTTCCTTCGACATCAGACGCTTCTATGGAGCCGAAGTCGTCGAACAAGGAGCAGCAGAAGAAAGATGGTCGACAGCCGAACAACAAGTGGAGCTCGAAGAAACCTTGCTGGGTGTGTGCAGATATCGGACATTTTGCGTTTCAGTACAGACAACGCACCGATCAGAAGGACAATGCTCCTGCGCAGAAGGAGAGTTCGTCGAAGTCGGGAATGCAGAGCGGTAACTCCAATTCGACCAACAAAAAGGGCCCTTCTTGCTCAATGGTGGGACCAGTTGTCGACCAGCTGCAGACGACCGATCTACTCATTTCGCTGAATGCCGAAGACGATGAGGATTTTCAGGCAATTTCTGCAGCCGTCGAGGCCAACCCTGCAGTCGACGCATCCTTTGTCGAAATGCATGAAGGTGGCGACATTAGACATGTCCGTGGTTTCAACAGTGCCTTTTAAGCAGTACGCGGTCGCTGAACAATCCTCTACGCGGCAAAGCTAGGAAGCAGATTCTGATCCTTGATGTGCTCTACGTAACTGGAACCCATGCGAGTCTTTTGTCTGCTACGCAGCTAAAGGACTGAGAGGTAAAGCTAAAGGATGAAGGTGAAGGGACCCTCCTTCTCTCTACCGATGGGACAGTCCTTGGACGCACTCGTTATCGAGGATGAGTGCTCAGCACAGATCTCCATGTGTGGCCACTACAGACATTGGCAGAGGAGGCGATTTCTCTGCGAACCTTGGTGACAGATACACGGGCAAAGATGGATGTGTTGCACCCTCGACTTGCATTTGCGGGCGTCGAAACGATCAAGCAAACGACGACACATGGTGCTGCGATGGGCTTTGAAATCGATAAGTTGTCCAACCCGGATCTGCCGTGTGTTTCTTGTGTGCGGGGGAAGCTCGTTTGACACAGTTTCCCTCAAGATGGGAGTGAGGAGCAGAAGGTGCTTGGGGTAGTGCACATCTATCTTTGCGGGCCCTTCCGAGTTCCTGCGAAAGGTGGCAGTCGCTGCTTTCTTCTGCTCAAGGATCAGAAATCTCCCTACGTCTGGATCTACCCGATTGCACAGAAAGCGATGCTCTGCGCGTTTTCCAGAAGTGGCTTCCGCGTGCAGAAAGGCAATGTGAGGCTTTGCTGAAGGCTCTCCGCTCCGATCCAGGTGGCAAATTTTTGGGAAGTAAATTCACCGAGTTTCTCGAAGAGAAAGGGATTGAGCACGACCTCACTTGCCCCTATACGCCGCAACAAAATGGGATGGCGGAACATGAAATGCGGACTGTCGTCGAAGCAATAAGGACGATGCTTCTGCTTATGGGAGCTCCCCACCATTGGTGGCACCTTGCAGCTCTGCAAGCTGTTTGGGTGAGGAATCGTTTGGAACATTCTTCTCTGCCATCAGGGCACTTCTTATGAGATGCTCTTTGAAGAGAAGCCTGACCTTGGCATGGCAAGAGTTTGGAGGTGTATGCTGCAATACCTCATTCCAGAAAGTCAGCCGGGGGGGGGGGGGGGAAGTTAGAGCCGAAAGCTCGTTGCAGTCTCCACCTGAGTGTCTCGCGGCAAAGTAAGAGGTGGTTGGTTCTCGACTTATCGAGCAACCGTTTGATCACCACGGTCGAGGCCATCTTCTACGAGACAATGTCTCATGCAGAGTGGAAGGCGACAGAGTCCCATCGTCGACTATGCTGCGCTTGACAATGTGGCATCGTTCCCGACGGGTCTTGCGGATGACGACGACGATGATGAAGACATGACTAAGGCACCAGTCCTTCTGCACGTGCCCACGTCGATTCCTCGACCGCAACCTCCCTCAGATAACCCTCCAGTGCAACTCTCTCCGTTGCCAGAAACTCCTCCCGTAGGAGACACTTCTTTTGCTGAAGACGCCCCTTCCTCGGAGCAAGTTCGCGCTGTCAAAGACATTCGCTCTGACTCTTCTTCGACAGGGGAGCATCTGTCGAGTTCATCGCTCTTTTCTTCGATTGAGAAATTGGTGCCATTTGCGACACTCCTCGGCGAAGAGGGGCGCAAATTGCCAATGAATGTCGTCGTCGAGAATTCGAGCAGTCTGCAGAGAAAACATATGCAGAAGAGCGATCTGCAGAAGAGCGATCGGCAGGAGGGCGATCTGAAGACGAACTGCCTGCAGAAGAAATTGTCGAAGAAGAGCTGCCGCAGAAGAAGGACCTGCTGATAAAAATCTTAACGTCACTCGCTTTGGTCGAACGATTCGAAAGCCACTTCGCTTCCGCTTCGCTCGACGGCATGCATGAGGATGTAAAACAGAAAGAGCTCGTCTCTGCTGACGTGTGTGTCGTTGACACGGATCATCGTTGGGACATTTCGACCGTGACAGTCGCAGAAGCTCTGCAGGGTTGGAAAGGTGAAGCGGGCAGAGCTGAAATGGATGCAGAGATGCAGACTCTCTACGACCAAGAGACTTGGGAGCTGGTACCTCGTCCACCTGGGGTTAATGTTCTGAAGGATCGATGGGTTTTGACGACGAAGTGCAACCCAGATGATACGGTTGACTGAGAGAAGGGTCGACTTGTCGTCGAAGGATTCACGCAGACTCGTGATGACTTCGACGCAATATATGCTCCCGTCGGGAGCTATGGAACTGCTCGGATGCATCTGTCGCACGCGGTCGACAGAAATTTGGAGCTGATTCAACTGGACATGGCGAATGCATTCCTCAACGCGAAACTCGACGGCCCTGTCTTCATGGAACAACCTGAGTTCTACAACAACGGAATAGATCGAGTCTGCATGCTGAAGAAGAATCTCTACGGACTGAAGCGGAGTCCACTGCTGTGGTAAGAGGCCCTCGACAAAGTGCTGGTCGATGTAGGATGGTCGAAGAGCCAGGTCGACGAAGCTTTCTACTTCCACGAGGACGAGAACCACGACATGTGCTGGATGCTCGTCTACGTCAACAATCTGCTCGCCGCGAGCCGCAGCAAAGAGCATCCGGCAAAGCTGAAGGCGCTGCTCAAAAATGCCTTCAAATTGCGAAGATCAGCCCTGTCAACAAGTACCTGGGACTGGAGCTGATCAGAGACTGGGAAGTGGGGAAGACCTGGCTGCATCAGAGAGGCTACGTGGACAGGGTGCAGAGGCATTTTCTGCCAGAAGGGCCTCCTCAGCGAGTTCCGAAGACGCCAATCTCGGTTGACACCTTCAAGGTGCTGACATTGGACGACGAGAAAATGCAGGCGTGCACAGAAGAAGAGTACCGGCACAGGGTCGGCTCTCTGCAGTTTGCTGCCTGCACCACTCGTCCAGACATCGCCTTCGCCTGCAGCATGGTCAAACTGTTCGAAGCGACCAGCATTGGAGGGAGCTCGATCGCTGCATTGCGTACCTTGTTGGGACGCGCGATGTTGCCCTCGAATTTGGCGGAGGAAATGGAGAGATGCGTCTCGTCGGCTTCGCAGATGCAGACGATGCAGGTTACAAACAGAATCGCAGCAGCACGGGTGGCTACATTTTCACTCTTGGCGGAGCTGCTATTTCATGGGCAAGTCAGAGGATCAGGTGAATCACTCTCTCTTCTACAGAGTTGGAATACATCGCTGCAGTGGAGGCCAGAAAGGAAGCTCGAAAGCTTCGTTTTCTGATGGCAGATTTTTGCACGCTCTACGAAACATCCCGGACAACTGTCTACGTCGACAACAATTCTGCAATTTCTGTTTTTGAAGGAATGGGGCTCAAGGGAAAGCTGAAACACATGGAGCGGCGCTACATGTGGCTGCAGAACATGGTGAAACGTCGCAAGCTGAAGCTGCAGTACATCTCAACAAGCAAGCAGCCGGCAGATTACTTGACGAAAGAACTTTATTTTCCTGCGTTCGACAATTGCTTTGCGAAAGTTGGTCAAGTAAGGCTGTTGACAAAGAAGAGCAGCGTAGAGAGTCCTCATGACAAAGAATAGCTGCCATGACCTCTTTCGTTGCTGGTGCGGTGGTGGTATGTGAATTGCAAATTTCTGCAGTTCTTGTGTGTTTGTGTTTGATTTTTTTTCTGCATGTTTCTTTCTTCTTTTCTTCCCGTTCTACTTGGGTGCGTGGTGTAGACTGGTCAAATTTCTCTGCGACGACCAAGCATAATAAGTGCAGGGAAGGGTTGAGTTTGCACTGACTCTGCAGATTGGGTCGTTGCTTTCTGCAAGGGTGAGAAGATCTCCGAAACGAATCTGTCTCAGAGGCCGTAGTGAAGCTCTGCAAAAGAGTGAAGTCCGTAGAAGCGAGATTTGGGTTACGCTGCAGAGGAGTTCACATCTGCAGAAATTCAGGTCTGCAAAGGAGGCGCGTCTGCAGAAGCGAAATTCTGCAGAGAACCACATTCTCTACGAGCGAGCCATTCCGACGCGAAAGTGTGATCGTTTCGGAGCCTTTGCGGAAGAATTTCGGGAGATTGAGAAATTGACGGAAGAATTTCGGGACATTGAGAAATTGACTCCGGGGAACAGTGCGCGGAACTGGGGTGTTCAATCTGGGGTGGAACTGAACCATCTGCACCAACTGAATCTGGCCCACGTTTTCGTAACTACGAAAACTTGCGTTTCAGAAGTTGTTTAAAGCAACCTGAACAATTAGAACAACTACTTTTAGGTAGGTAAAAATTACCAACTAAGCACGTGTTGTAATTTTCACCTGCCGACGCTGACTTGGCAGAGCGCAGCTAAAAGTAGTTAGCTAAACATTCTTGCGCGAACGTTCTCTACATGGTTCAGAGGTTGGGTAGCTTCTATTTCACCCCTTGTTGTATTTTACTTTTAATCTTTCTAGTGAACTTCTTTGTGTGCAAACTCTGTCCATCCACCACTTCAACTCTCACAAGAATACAACATCACCAACTCCTTAGTGAACTACAGAGATGCTACTCTGCGCGTCTAGGAGCATTCCGTAGAAGCTCCCGTTAGCGCAGAAATCTCTGCAAATCCGAGCTGGAAACTGAGGTCATACTGATGGATAGGGAACGGGACCGTAAGGCTAAGAGCTACTACTGTAGGAAGAACAAAAGAACAGAAATCAAAGCTGGAAACCGATCTGATTATCAAAATGAGAGCTTTTGCAGCTGATATGTAGTAGGCAGATGTGAGTCTTGTGAGTTGCGAATGGAGGAGAGGCAGCTGGAGGAGCCTTGGGGTCGTCGGGGAGGGAGTGGAGGAGACAGGAGGGCACAGCTTGCGCGCGCTACCGAGGCTTGAAGGTGTCGAAAAAGGTGGCTTCCAGTCTTACCTCGGTATATTTCGGTAAATCGGCTTCGCGCGCGTTTTTGCTGGTCTCCGAATTTCGCGCCAGAGATGGTTCGGCCTGACTTGTCGGCCCCCAAACCTACTCTCGAGACGCCCCAATGGCCTTCGTCATGCGTCCGAGGCACCTTTTGCCCTCGGTTTTTGCCTAGCTCGTTTGCTATGCCATACCTCGAATTTCCCTTTCTAGACTTCTCTTTAAAACTTGCTGCAACAAAACTCATATAGTAATTATAAAATATAGCACTGTGTAATGGTTGAAATAATCATGCAGGTGCATCTAGGCTTTTGAAGCAGCGAAAAATGAACTACAAGATCTGGTACATAGTCCATGAAGCATATATCATAGTGGTATTACTCTGGATGTCGTTGAATCGTGTGAATGTATCTGTTTTCTCATGTGTTTGTTTCAAACTATAGTTGTTGGGCTGAGTTCTCAAGAGTTGAGCATAGCGGAATGGTCATGACAAGTAAGACGAGAGATACAAACGCTAAACCTAGAAAGTGTTGTACTCCCTACAGCCCTACTCACTATAGCCTATTAAAACAATGTATTAACATTTGATACACCCCCAATGGCAAAGTGAGGGGCATCAAAACAAGCAAAGAAAATAAAGGGTCACAAATCAGTCAAGAGAAACAGCAAGACAATGCTCATGGTGGATCTCAAGATCTCACCACACATTCTGAGCACAAGCAAACGACCACAAGGCCAATTCAAAAGTTCACAAATATATACGGACAAGTAGAGCAAGCAGCAAGAAAGAATGCTACAGAAACCTAGCACCAGTGTCAAAAAGGCCTAACTGTAGACAGAACCTGTGGTGGTCACTAGGCTCTAGGGCCTTGGTGAAGATGTCTGCAGTGTTGGCCTCTGACTCCACGAAGTCCAAGCGTGCGTGGCCGCGCCGCTGCAACTCTCGCAGGAGAAAGTACCTCACGTAAATGTGCTTCACTCTGCTCTCCAGTGGAGAATTTTGACACAGTAGGATCATGGCCTTGTTGTCAACAAACAAGGTCGGTGCAGAGCGAGGCCGCTCACCAAGGTCGGTGAGCAAGAAGGTCAACCAGCGAAGCTCCTGCACAGCCATGCCACCAGCGTAGATCTCTGCCTCTGCACTGGAAGTAGCCACAGACGACGACCGAGTAGACCTCCACGACACAGCTCCAGCGCTCAAACTAAAGCAGTCGCCCTGGGTGGATCTGTGTGTCTCCACATCGTCGGCGACAACTGGCTATCTCTCTCCAAGCACAAGCCCCATGCCTGATGTAGTCACCAGGTACTTTGCCACCCTCACAGCAGCTGTCCAGTACATAGGACGGTGTCTCCCTGTCACAACAAAGCGAGAGAGGACGCTAAGAGGAAAGGCGAGCTCCGGACAAGTTCAAGATGGTACATGAGGCAGCCCACAAGCTCTGCGTAGTGACCACTAGACTCAAGAGGCTCGTCGGGATAAGGGCCAGTGAGTCTGTGGTCAACGATAAGGGGAGTGGGTTGTGTAGTGCAGTGCTTAAGCCCGAACCAGCCCGAACCGCTAAAGGACCTGCTGCACCATGTGTGATTGTGAGAGTGTGATGGTGCGAGCGGCTCTGTCTCTCGTGATATGCAAGCCAAGGTAGCGGCGCAGCTCACCAAGGTTAGTGCACGTCTGTCTCATCTGCAATTCAGATTTCACCTCATCTAGAGCGGCCCTCTCTGCTGTAGCTAAGACCAAGTCGTCGACGTGGACGAGGACGAAGAAAGGTGTGGGCCCAGAATGAACAAACAGCGATGGGTCGGCGGATGAAGGACAAAACCTGAGAGCAGCAAGATTGGTGCGCAGCGTGTTGTGCCGCTCACGGGGCGCCAATTAGAGACCGTAGACTGGTCCACTGAGTCCCAGGCGGAAAAATGCCAGTGAAGCTGGGAGGACGGCGCAGCCAGATCTCTTCGTGCAGGTTCCCTGGAGAAAGGCGGTGGAGAAGTCGAGGGAGTGCAGCGCGTAGTCTCGCAGTGCTGCAACCTGAAGTAACACCTGAAGAGTAGTCATCTTTGGGGTTGGTGTGAAAGTCTGAAAGAAGTCAACCCCCTCTCGCTGACTGAAGCCTCGAGCCACGTAGCGCGCCTTGAAGACAGGCGGTGATCCATGCGGCCACTTTACCTTGAAGATCCACATATCATCGACTACGTTCGCCCCAGGCAGGGGGTACGTGCTTGTGGATCTCGAAGACGCCATCTCTACCTCCATAGTCACAATCCACTAAGAGGCCCACTGCCCTGTCACTGCCTCACGGTACGTGCGAGGAGTCGGTATGTCGAGGGCGTCAGGGTCTCTTTCAGGGACTAGCAGCATGGCACAAAGATGGGGACAAGCGGATGCCAAAAACTCGAGCTCAAACTGCCGGTCCTCTATGACGTCACAACCAAGGGCAAACTCACCCCCTACGGATAGAGGACGGGCAGGCGGAGCAGTCACTACGCGGGTGGCGTAGTGAAGGCGGCGAGTGGTGGCAAAGTCAGTAACAGCAGCAACAATAGCCGAGACAGACGACGGAGAGGCACGAGTGTCCGTAACTAGAAAGG